TCTGACACGGTCGAGTCTGATAAAAATTGACTATCCAGGCAGTCCAAGTGAGAAATCGCGGGTATGGAGGACCGGATACCTAGCCGAAACGGTGACGTTGTTTAGAGCACGGTAGTCACCGCTTGGTCGCCAATTGCTTGACTGTTTAGACATTACTTGGAGAGTCCATGTCAGCAGTTGTTTGAAGGAGGAACGATGCCGGGATAAAGCACGTGTTTGAAATCCTATTTAGCTGCCTGAAGTTTGTCAGGACGCAAGCGTAGAGGTGTATGTTACTGGCGGACCGTTTGTAATGAGGTCATGGCGTACATGGTGCTTAGGGTCAGCAGTATCGTTACTTGCTCGAATTGGCGATGAAATTGTCGGAGCACTGAACAGCACTGTGAGCTGTCAAATAAAGTAAATAAAGTAAATAAAGTTTTATATTCTCGACAAGGCGAGGCACGCCTTTACAGGCATGATCATTATGACAACAATGCGTGGTCTAGAATGTGCAAGGATACGTTATGTTGGCCGTACCAGTGTATGTTTATGTAGGAGGTATGTAATTATGTAACTGTGTGTGGGTGTGTCACTGTGAGGTTCCTGTTTGTAACTGTGCTGCTCTAACTTTGACTCTCCTATCGTCGGCAATGCTCGAGTAGAAGATGGATGTCCGTGCGTTGGAAAGGATTATTCGGATACCCACGGGGCAGTGACTTTATTTTGTGGCGAGTCACGACCGCCACGTCACAGTGTTGTTAAGCAGACATTTGTGGCTTTTTATAGGGAGAACGCTTGCCAGGCGAAAACCCACCACGTCCTGGAACACTGCCGCCGAACTATTTGCTGGAACGGGGCAAACCCGAACCACCCAGCTGGCACCACGAGGAGGTTGTTCGGCTAGCCAGTTATGAGGATGCGAGGCCCCAGATAATTGCCTGAAGCACGTCTGCAGGGTATGCTTAAATATGTAGTAGGGTCTCATAATTTCCCATAACGTAGGTCGAACATAAGGCCGAACATTCTGAGGAAGTCGGATCCGAGGATGGGCTTTTGCACCTCGGCGATGATAAAAATGAAAGGGAAGTTACGCCGCAGACCCAGGCACAAATTAAGTAATGCCTGTCCTAGGTTGCTATTTTAGTCCGTTTGGCTACCGTTAGCACCGCACCAGCTTATTACAAAGGGCGTGTTTCCAGAGAACGTGGGAGAACGCTGACTTCTGCACCAGTACCAAACTACAAGCAAAGCCTGGTTGTTGAGTTAAATGCGTACAACAAACGACTAATAATCTGGCCCGCGACAGCTGCCGACGTTACTGCCTGCCCAAGTGATTTCACGATGCAGATTGAAAAGGCTTCCGGGTTTTATACGCTGGACTGCAGTTACTCGCTGCGCCTCCGAAGCGGTGGTGGTAATAACTGCAGCGGTGTGATTGTCGTGTGCGGTAGGTGTTAGGATGCTTTGATGGAGAAAGGTATCGTCGCGAAAGAACGCGGCCACGTCTGAGATGGGACAAGGTGAGCTGTAAGTTAGAAAACCTCTCGTTGAGTGTGTCAAGTACCATGGTTTTGAGAATTTGTCAAAATATGTAAGGTAGCGTTCGTGAACTTTCTCGACAGCTTATGTCAGTTTGTCTGTTGGAAGATCGCCTGTGAGAACAAATAATATAGCCGTCGTATGCTCGGGAAGACAGGTACACCACAAATGTCGGAGAACGGAATCATCCAGTCTGGAAGAACCGACGAGGGAACTCATGTATCGGAGTAAACGAGACAGCATGCTATCTCCGAGCAAAACGCCACAGCGTAACTGCTGTAGGTTTGTCTCGTTCGTAGCTGCAGTGCGCTTTAATATGGCTGCCTTAAGTTTAGTTTACTGGGGACTCAGGAAGCATAAGATAAAGAAAATCGATGACCTCGCAGGCGGCGTTGGACGGTAAGTGAGCAGTCACATATGAAAATACAATGTACTGGGATGTACCCTTACGAAGGCGAAAAACAACTACGTGAACGAAGCAAACGCGTCTGTTACAAAGGTTAATTGAAGGTAAAACCAGTCCAAGGGCACGTTCCGACGCATCAATGGCGGGGGCATGATCAGACATTGTGAGAAAGCAATTGTAAAAAGCAATTGTAAAAGAGAAACACAAAAAATAAATTAAAATGTAGGGACAGCAGTTATGTAGGGGAACCGGTAGAAGAGGATACCCAGCCAGTCAGTTTTACCTCACATATTAGATAGCATGATGCGCCTCAGCGTCGGACGACCGTAGAGCACGAATTATGCCGAAGTGTAGGTGCACGTCACTTCCGACCGCGAATCGCGCAGGTAGCCATGCGCACAGTGTTATTTTAGTGGTAACCAAGGGAGCACCACGGCAGATAAGCTCGGAACTACTAGTTATCTGTGTAGTTAATTGAAACAAATTTGTACAACAAGTGCAGCGAATTAGATAAGCGTGAAAATGAGCAAATACTTTCAATCGCTGCAGATCGCTGGAACTCGCTTCCAGAACATGTTGCTAAGGCATAAACAGTGAAGGGTTTTGCGCGTCATTTCTATGCTGTTTCTTGTCGAAAGCAAACCTTCCCTTTCCACTGACGCTTCTTCAGCTTTCAGCTTTCAATTTTACTTCATCACGCGCCATAGTTCTATGTAGTTGCAGGTACGTTGCTCTCCTTGCTTTCTGAGGTTACTGCCTTCTTTTACATGCTTGACGTAACCGGCCCAGCTGGGACTGCCAAGGCAGGATAGGAGGGCGGTAATTGATTGATTAGTGGGTGCAGGAAAGGGTCAGGTCAAGTTCCCAGAATGGTATATGCTTCCGTCTAACGAGCGTCTAGCTTCCTAAACCGGCAAGGAACCAAATGCCCCGGTATTTCTACTTCCGTTTGCATTTCATGCTTCCGCAAAGAAAACACAGTAACAAGAAGCAATCTTGTACTTCATCCTTCATGAGAGCTCTGCAACGGACATCAATAAGTTGACAATATTTCTAGAAAGTGTTCCAACCAACGTCTGTCTATACCTCAATAGCATTTTGCCAAGCGTCTTGCGTTTAGGTCAGTCCAGCTTTCAAGGCCCTTAGTAAACTACTGGTGCTATACCCGCTGTAGAGGGAACACACGCAGCCGCTGCCAACAAGATGTCGCATTCAATGCTGGGAGCCATCGCGCAACAGACTCCGGGAATCTTCAGAATCCTGTTTACTTCCCACGTGCCCGATACTGGAATATGGACTAACCGCCATCCGTCCTCTTAACTATTCGGAGGGTGACATGATTAAGAAAGTCCAACGGCTTGCTTCGAAGTCCATAATGGATTTAAGGGACTTGCCTTACCCCCTTCGACTACAGCGGATTCACTTGTTATCCCTGGAATATCGTTGACGTACGCATGATTTGGTTTTTACTAGGCTAATTTTGATGGGTGAAATGGGGATGGAGCTAAAAGCCTTTGTTCAAGTCAAAACTAATAGTTCCACTCGGGGGCGTAATTGGAAATTATTTAAACCTAGAAGACTCGAAGATCGCTCTACTCTCGCTCTATCAACCCGCATTGTAAATGACTGGAACCACTTGCCGAAACATGTGGTCGACGCGCATACTGAGGGAGGTCTCAAACGATTTTTGGATTCGCACGATGAATAAGCTGGGACCTTGCTTCTTCCAATGTAGCTGTTACTGCCCCTTGTGGGGCAGTCTCATAGTGACGCACGGCATCCACACAATGATCGGGAAATGACGGAGCTTACAAGGACTTCCCTTTTGTTCTCTACAATGCTATGGTCCACGTGGCCGGCACAGTGGGGACTGCTAGTGCAGGCCGCGTGGGCATTGATTGGTTGACCGTTATGTGATTCGTGTGTATTGATTTGGCTCCTCTCGGCTCCAAACCGCTCCCGCGAACTCCATTCTGGTTCAACGACGCATTGAAGAAGGAACACACATGGGAATTCTCCTACCGTTCCTGTCCAAATTGAACTTGAACTTGAACAATGATACGACTATCATACCGACGTTCTTTCGGAGTCTTGACGGGCGGCATCTTTACGAGGCTGTTCTCGGCTTTCGTTCGGCCTCATCTGGAATACTGCGTCCAGGCTTGTCCGCCCTGCCTCGTCCGGGACAAAATGGAGCTGGAGAGGGTTTTACGAGTGGGTACTAGGTTAGTCGAGGGATTACGGGGACGGACGTACCCCGAGCGTCTACTTAGTTTGGGAATGCATTCTATGCACTACCGAAGGCTTAGAGGAGACCTAATCCTAACCTACCGTATCTTGACTGGGAAGGTTGGTCCAGATTTATGTTGGCTATTCAGTCCCGCTAGATTGTCTGTTCTACGCGGTCATTCGTTGAAGCTGGACAAACCGCGGTCCGATCGGATTAGGGCGGAAATCCGGCTGTCACGCCGAGTTATCGACCGCTGGAACATGCTTCCGGAAAGTGTTATCAGGGAATCTACGGTTAAGGGGTTTGAGCGGCAACTTGACGCTTTGGGTGGAAACACAAAACCTTTCCATTTTCCTGAGTAACTCGCATCTTCGTACTTCGATTTTCTTTTCTCTACTTTTCTTCACGTATTGGTATTATTTTCTTATTTAAGTGCACTTCCCTATTCTGTACCTTCGATTTCTCTTCCTATCCTTTGCTTATTTCACGTGACTGCCAAAGCAGGGACTGCTAGGGCAGGAAACGTGGGCATTAACTGGTTGGCCAGGGTGCGATACGGGTGTTTCCGTTTTAGATCCATCAATAACTGAGCACTTCATCAATTCCTGGCTCAACCATCCACTCAAGATGGAACACTCACGGGATTATCCTATCGTTCCAGTCCCCATCTGAACTGAACTGAACTATTTCTTGAAATCACCAACACTGAACCCCCCGCACTACCAAGAACTGACTTGAAGTAGTCAAGGTGCGGATCTCTACTTTGTTAATACATTTAGCTGTTCACTGCTTAATGTTGATCTTTGAGTAAGCAAAGTGGTTGCTTCTGGTTTTTTCGCACCAGATGGTTCGCCTTCTAGGTCACTTATGTAGCGATGGCCGCGAAGAGAATTAGCAAGGTCCGCTTCCGTTTTTCTTCTAATCTATTCAGGAGTTACAAGATCTTGGTAGAGATCCACCATTCCAATGCTCCGCTGGACCTATTTCGAATGATCGTGAGTTTAATTTTTTACTCAGAAATCATTCACCCCTTAGTCTTTCGTTGGCAAGCGGCTATTATCGGTCCCGTAAGTCCACTGACGAAATATTCACACTAATCCAAGAGTGATAGCGCATATGAAGGTGGCTTATTTCTTCTTAATATTTCTTTTCCGACTGATTACCCTTTCAAACCTCCGAGAGTAAGGACTTTTTGCCTAATTTCGCTTGGACAGGTGACCTTCACTACACGGATCTACCACCCAAATATCAATTCCGAAGGATCGATCTGTTTGGATATTCTTCGGAGTCAGTGGTCTCCGGCATTAACTATATCGAAAGGTAATTAGTTTAGTGCCTTAATGTATCCCTTATAGTACTTTTGTCTATCTGTTCCCTGCTCACTGATCCGAACCCCGATGATCCTCTGTGCCCTGACATTGCCCGGCTGTACAAGTGTAATCGTGAGAAGTATGAAGAGACAGCTCGTGAATGGACTCGAAAATATGCAATGTCTTAGCCGCAGCTTCTCAAAACTATTCACCTTTAAAATTCGTAGTCTTTTTGCAGCTGAACAAGTTGGTTGTTAGCAGTGGTGGCGAATGTTGAAAGGCCACGTATTGGCTTGTGATCCGTAAGCTCATCTTTCGTTTACATAACGACAGCTGTAGATGAAGGATCTCGGAGAGTTTTCTGCTTACGGTTAAAACAAAGATGCCCTAGTCGAACCTACAACTCCTTGTAATATTCAAGTTCACTTGGGATTAGAACGCTAGGATAATCCCGTGAATGCTCCTTCTTTTGCGTATCATTGGATTGATAGGTCTACTTGAGATGCTGAAAACCCAAAACATACTGCATCACACCCTGTCCAAACAATTACACCTTCAACCTTGTTGGTTGTCAGCGTGATGGCCATTGCCTCATGGCAAAGCGAAAGAATCCTTGACTACTTCTCGCTTAAGCCATCGTACGCGAACCTCCGTGCTTGAGTAAAATCGCGATAGTGATAGATTTTTATTGAATAAAGTCGGCCACCAGTGTTGATCTGTCATGCTTTTATTGGCATGTAAGGTTGGCTAGAATGGGCAAACAGACCTTATTCTGAAAGTTATTCCTCACAGCTACCTTACGTCAAGGTTCCAATGCACATTACGGAAAACGCGAGCCCGCCAATTCATCCTTTCGTCATGACCAAGTAACTAGCTGTGGCAGCGCAACACTATTCAGGAATTAATTAATAACGTAAAGCAATTTAGTGTTGCCGGCCCATGGTAGTTCTGTCGGGTCTCTGGGAACCCACTTTTATTCTACACGATAGCAACATGTAAAGTTGTCGCACCCCATTACTACTAGTTACTTAACCAGAGAGGCTGACGTCTACCCATCTTTACCTGGTCGTCCTTACTACTGAATCGAAATACAGAGTCGTTCTGGCAGGTGCGTCGCGCAGTACTGACGAGTCACAAGGGAACCAAATAATCTTTTCCATCTTAACGTAGAGTAGTTGTTTAACGTAGTTTAACCGCCAGGTATCACCCTAAAACAAACCTAAATATCCTTTCACCATTGTGAAATGAATTTGCTTATTCAAACAAGCGCTTCTGCGCAATCCTACAAGTGCATGTAAAAATTCGGACGGCTTTTTGCATGTGATCTTCGGTCAACTAAAGAGAGGACTTTTGATTGGCACTGCGAGAACACTAACAGCGCGATCGCCTATCACGATCCAAATCCTTTTGGAAGCTGCAACTAATTGGTTGCAATTGCTTGACATGACGACGTTTTTGTAAGTGGTGCCTAAGCTTCATGTTCGGAGCCATCTTGTGAACATCTGACTACACTACCTGTGTGGAGGCATAGCTGACACCATAGAGATGGAATGAAGCACTGCATTGCTCCGCTCTCGGTGTCACAGTCCGATGTCAGCTCCCATGCACTTTACCACACCTCGATATACACAATGCTCGTTCGTCGCAAGATGAACCTCCGCTTTCTCGTTTACGCCCATGTCTTTTGATCGGTCGTACCTCAAAAACAGACACACGGACTCTAGCCAAACCTCATGGGATAGTTATAGTGCATTCATTGCCTTATTGGGTTCTCCGCTGTTTTCAACACGATTTGGAACACTCCAAATTCACTTGTCATTATGCACATTGTAATGAGAATAAATACATCTTGGAGTTACGGGACTTGCCTTATCCTCGAAGACTTCAGCGGATGAATCTGTTCACCCTGGATTATCGCCGACGTCGCGGTGACCTGATTTTCACCAGGCGCATCCTGAGAGGAGAGATGGGGACGGAGCTGCAGGCGTGCTTTCAATCCAATCCAAACAGTTCAACTCGAGGCCACAACTGGAAACTGTTTAAACCCAGAAGACTTCGGATTCATCCTGCTCTCGCTCTATCAACTCGCGTAGTCAACGATTGGAATAACTTGCCGAAGTATGTGGTCGAGGCCCAGACGGAGGAATCTTTCAAGCGAATGTTAGACTCTTATCTTTTGAGTACGATGGGTCCTTGCAGTTTCCAGTGTAGCTGTCAAGGTCCCTTGTGAATTACCGCATAACATCGAATCGCGGCCTCCACACAATGATCGGGAAGCGATGGAGCTGACAAAGGACTTCTCCTTCTGCTCTCTACAATCCTATGAACCTATAAGTATGCCGAGACACAGTAGCAGCGTTTCGCTGCGGTGCCACCAACAGCCGCACGTGGGTTTAGGATACTGCGGGAGTCGCCCGCTCCCTACGCACGTTCGGACCCGCACCTTCGGATTACAAGACCGTCGTGGTTCTTAAGGCTACGAGCTGCGTACTAAGAATAACAACAGGATCCAGAGGAATGAAATGAAGTGAAACGCAAACGGTTGTATGATGGAAATGAAGTGAGGAAGCGCACATGACGTTCTTAGTAGCACAGCCATAAACTGGACACAAGAGTCCTGTTTTATCGGTTGCACTATTTCTTAACGAGTTCACAATCACTGGCTTGGCTACCATGATACGGAGCTGTACGCTATCGGGCGCATCACCAGGCTGCGGATTGTGGAATCTCTTTCTTGGGGAGGTAACTGCGAATAAGTATCATTTGCTTTGCAGACGAGGTGAATAAGCAACCGCGGACTATCAGCGCAGCGTCTCAGTGCGTGAGGAGTTCTGGCCTTGTCACTTGGTTCTCTATCAAATACCACAAGAGCTCGTACGGCGCTATGTCGAAGCTAATGTGACCGGCTATAGGGTCACTGATCACTCACTTCTGTAACCAGAGGTAACTACCTAACGGAGATAGGATAGATAACCTTGCTGGCCATAGGGTTTTGTGTGGATGCTACGGGACATAAAAAGGCGAACGAGCCACCTGACTGTCAACGGTGTTTATATTAAGCATCTGGTTGGACGTTTCAGCAAATGCAATAATTGCTCCGTTGCCTTGCTGGCCAGATCTAAGACTAAAGGCTCGGAGAGAGATCTTTTAAGTCAACACTCTTTCTCGGCCTGCGCAACCGGGAATCCCTGCCCAAACAGCACAAACGTACATGATTTTTCCTCTGACCGCCTCTTTCCCATTTTTGTTGTTACCCATGTGTAACGGTGCTCTTACAATTATTGCTCAACATTGCTCCATGTCACACCGTGACTAGACTGTAACGTGGTGTGATAATTTGCCTACCTCGTTGACCAAGTGAGCTATATTGGGTGGTGCTCCCGGGCTCGATTAAGAGCTACCCCTACCAGGCTGGTCAATGGTTGGAGTTCAGACGAACTCACTCTACTAGCCCTCCAGGTTGGGGTTTGGAATGGGATGGCATCCAATTTCATAAAACTGAAACCTCATCCGCCTCCTTGAGTCAGACTGGTTGATGACCATAATCGTTCTCTTGTCTAGGTCTGAGCGTCCTGGCTCATTTACAACCACGGCTGTCTTAAAACTACAACCACATCCTGCGTCCGCCGTCAAGCAGCCTATTAGGGGTTGCTTTATCTGCTGCATACGGCAGGGCGGATAAGCGAAAACATGCTACTGCTAGTGCCTTCTTTCTTGCATCTTTTTCTCACTCCGCTCCTTCCTTCCTTAATTGACGGCAACCGTAACGTCACTGGAGTCGAACTATCTGGAGCTACCTTCCCGTACCACCTACTGGACGTCTATCAGTAACACCCCCTTATAAGGCCATGCTGTCCCGTCCCTTGGCGGCGTTTGACCTTCGCACCTCTAAGACAAATAGGTCAACAGACTGCATTCGTATGCACGTTGGACACACTGGATATTAACATGTGTTGTGTGACCAAAACTCGGATCAATTGCTCTCACGGGGTTTTTGAATTAACTGCGCCCGGTTTGTGCTCTCGCTATTGGTTGTACGCATCATCAACAGCAGTACATCAGCCCTTTGAACTGATGCTTCGCTGCCATACAAGCTTGAGAACCTATGAATTAATGAATAAGAAGAGGGAGAGAAGTGGGACTTACCTGAAAACCTTAATGCCCTAAGCAAGCATTCAGGGTCAAGGCGCCTACACCTTGTGTAGTCAACATACCGTCGCAAACAGCTGGCTATCGTGCAAAGATAAGGCGGCATCGGCGAGACAGCTTCCTTGCGGCTGTCACTGCCACGCGTCATAATCAGGCATTACCCCGCAGATAACTCAGCACCATACACACTTTAAACAGGCAATCCGATTAGGAGACGGCAGCGGACGCGCCACTGGTGTCTACTGCGAGCCATCTCCTGTAAAGTCTCAATCCAAGCACAAGGCGAGCCACGTGGACTCCAGCCCGGAAGACGAGACAGACTACCGGCACCCAGTTTGATCGTCAGTGACTTCATTTCCCGCTGCCAAGTCAATTTCTGTCCACCCGGAGTCTTGCGCCACCCTACACGTGGCAGACTATACAAGGCCCTCCTAGGTAAGCGGTGACCAAGCATACGTAGCACGTGCCCGAGCCAACGCAACTTATTCAGTGCTATCTGTTGTTCTAGGGAGCTAACATGATTATCACCACCTAGTACTCGCCTACGCACATCATCGTTGCGGACACGCTGGTGCCATCCGACTCTAGCAATGCTTCGCAGACAACAATGATCAAAGACTTGTAGACGCCTCAGATCTTCAGACCGAAGGGGCCAAGTTTCACTACCATAGAGCAGAACGCCCCTCACTGTGGCCTTGTATACACGGCCTTTCAGCCAGAGGGAAACTCACTTCTGTCGCCAAAGATGCCGCAGGTTCAAGAAGGTAGCTCTGGCTTTTGCAGTGCGTGAGCTGACGACAGTTTCTAATCGCCCATCATTGCTGATGCAGCTACCAAGATAAGTGAAGTGATCAACCACCTCGAGTTCCTCGTTAGCAAGCGTCGAGGGGTCATCAAGTGGCTGGTGATCCTGCAGCGACACTGCACTTTGAAGGTGCGAAGTGCATAGCAAATAATGGGACCAATCCGGACAGGCTATACAGGGTTGATTGTACCGCCCCAGCATCGTCGAAAAGCAAGACGATATCGTCCGCATAATCTAGGTCAACTAATCTTTCACCAGGCAGCACTTCAACGCCTACATTCCGCGAGGGAACACTCCATGATAGAATCCACGACAAAATTGAACAAAAATGGGGAAATGGGACAACCCTGACGAACGCCACTTGTGTTCAGGGCTGGCTTGCCGAACAACCTCCTCGTGGAGCCAGCTGGGTGGTTCGGGATTTTCCCGTTCCAGCCAATGGTTCGGCGGCAGTGTTCCAGGACGTGGTGGGTTTTCGCCTGGCAAACATTCTCCCTATTAAAAACCACATATGTCCGTTTAACAACACTGTGACGTGGCGGACGTGACTCGCCACTAAATAAAATCACTGCCCCTTGCTTCATCGTGGCGAAGCATTGTATTCCAGCAAATTTATGCTGCAATTCTGGGGAGCATTGGGCCCCTGTTTGACAAAGGAACAAACGAAAGGCGTATGAACTGAAAAATCAGTCGCCGGCTCCCAATGGGCGCGATTCCCTGAATTCGCTCCGCTGCCTTGCGGGCAGGCTATTCAGTCAAAG